AAAAAAAAAAAAACACCAAAATACATCAAACCAACAAGTCCCTGTTCTGGCCAGCATAGGGATGCCACTTTAGAAATGCAGGACTAATTGACTTCACTCTGTACCACTGGCCTATATGGCCCCCAGGTGGCCATGGTGTAGGTGAAACAGGAAGTGCACACTCAGCATCTGACTGGGCACAACATGGTCTCAGTGAGAGGTAAGAGGAGTTCGCTGCTGGGTCTGGGCCAACATTCAGGCTTCTCAGAGTCAAGTGGGGGAGAGGAGCTGACCCTGGGAGGGTCCCTGGATAACTTCACAAAGTGAGATGGAAAATACATTGTGCTTCTTTTAGGACTCTGGGAGGGTGTCTGGGGGGTATTGAAAATGGAGGTCAAAACCAGGTCAGGTTTGGGTAAGAGGTGAGGAGAGGGGTCAGCACTGGAGGGCAGGGGATGATGTAGCTGGCCTCTGGGGCACAGAAGGTAGAGGTTAAAGATGGGAAAGGACAGAGGATATAGTGTAGCCAGGCTCTGCCAGCCTCAGCAGAGAGGCCACCTGGTCCGGTGTGGGAGGCCTGGCTGGAATGTGGCTCTGGGGCTGATCTGCACTGTCTCCTCCCTCACAGAAAAGTGATGACATCCGAGTGACACGAGGGGAAGGGAGATTCTGCCTGTGGAAGAGGAACAAAGAGGAAAATGCTCCCTCTTCCCGTCCACGAAGGAGTACAACGGGACGGGAGGAACTCTCTGTACTCCCTTTCAACTTCCCACCCTGAATTTATTTTTCACTTCATTTCACATGATAGGAACATGATGTCATTTTCTCTGTTAGTCATCGTATTAGCAGCATAGCTACTGCCAACTCACAAAACTGCTATCCCTGGGGTCAGTGGGCCAAACGGGCTCTAGCCACCAAGGCTTGTCACAGCCTCCCAGCATCACAATCCACAGAGCTTCTGGGCTCAGGGGCCTTCAGGAGGTGGGCCTTACTGTACAACAGAGTCAACATGGATTTAGGTCCTGGCACCTCTGCTGAGGTGACTCTAACGTCTCTGTGCTTCAGGTTCCTCATTCCTCATAAGGATATATACAGGTCTAGTCTCAGTCACTAAGCATCTACAATGTGACAGGCACTATCCTAAGAGTGGAAGGTATGCTGGTGAAATAGCCAAGTCCAGACTACAGAGGGCTGTATCCTACGGGGGGAGGGGGGGGGGCTGTCAGGTGGGACAGTCAAGAGCATGGGTTCTGACACCATACTGCTTCACAGAAAGTGGGCTGTGTCGTTTTGAACAAGTCGCTTAACCTCTGTTTCAAATTTCTCAACAATATCTGTGACAGTGTTATGAGGACTAACTCAAGTAGATTACCCTTACACAACATTCAGCCCAAAGTACTGTTAAGTATTCTTCAAATAATAACACACTATGAATACCAAATGTGATAAGCTTCAAGGGAAAGAGCATGGGGTGGGGTGGAAGGGCTTGGCAGAAGCAGCTAGTCCAGGCTGCATGTGGAGAAGATGCCACAGCCAGGGACAGTTTCTGAAAGATAACATTTAAGGTTAGAAAACTGACAGTCTTGCTACGGCCTGATCCCACATATTTTCTCTGCCTCTTGCCACCTCCATCAGGGTTGCTGGGCTATACGCATCCTCACGTTGACAGGGCCGCTGGGGAGACTGCGCAGGGGGCAATCAGGACAGGTCTTGGAAGCAGGGCCACGTGCTCTACTGGCAGCATGACAAGTTCCTATTCTGGAGCCTGTTCCCCACCAGAGAAGACCGGGCCCTTATAAAGGGCAGCAGGCAAGAGGACACAGGGCCACTGCAACCCCTGCAGGGCTCCAGACAGTCAGAGAGTCCTTTGTACACACCATGAAGTCCCAGTTCAGCCATGTCTCCATTACAGCAACTACACATATATCTGATACATTGTTTCTATCTTCATGTTTTTAAAACTGGTCAAGAGATAAGGTGTCAACCCATTTTCAAAATAAAATCATCCCAAATGCAGACATCATGCACACACACACTCTAGGCTTCCTACAATTTTTCCAAATGAATGAGCAGTAAAGACGAGGGAGCAGCTCCTGTAATTAAACCAAGTCTGTATGTTTCCCAGGATGTTCCTTCAGCTGACTATAAAACGTCCTATCGATACCTGAATTACCGAGTAAACTACAGTTATGACCTAATGAATGGCCTTAATGAATACCCCCACCAAGCAGAAGGAGCGAGCTGCCAGTAAAAACAGAGATTTTTATATACTTGAAGAGGACATTTGTGATTACTCTAGGGCTTTTTAAATTAAAAGTCTCAGTCGTAAATTTTGATTGCTCAACCTAAAGGCAGATCACTAAATAACTTGAACAGTCTCTTCAGATTTTTCAAGGGAGGGAGCCATCCATTTCCATCTGCAGTCGATAGTTCAGACTCACCGAGGTCAATAAGAATGGCGTGCTGCTGGGAGGTTAGCTGCTTTAGGAGCTCTTTGTAGGGCACATCCTTTGGCTGCTGTTTACTGGGAAACGGATGTTTAAGGTGGAACTGCTCTGCTAGAAATTTCCAGATTTCACCCCGGTGATGACGAGGCACACCTTTGGGGGAAGGCAGAAAGTATAAAGGCACAATTTATGAACAGAACACAAGTTAACAATAAAAATGAGCTGTGTTTCATTTCACTGAACCAACTTCTTTCTGCATTATGAATTCTCAGCCCAGCAAAGGGAGGAAAACAACCCCAAATTTGTTCCCTGCTTCCTTTCCAACAAACCCCCCATTCTCCCCTCACTTCCCCAGCCCTGTCCCTGGTTCTTTTCACCTTTCTGTTTTTTGTTTTTTTTTGGGGGGGGGGCGGGGTGGTGCTGGGAATTGAACCTAGGGTGCTTAACCAGTAAGCCATAACTCCTTTCTATTTTTTATCTTGAGATAGGGTCTCACTAAGTTGCTGAGGCTAGCTTTGAACTTGTGATGCTCCTGCCTCAGCTCTCAAGCTGTTGGATAGGCCAACTCACTTTGCTCCTTTCACCTTTCTAAGACGTTCTATGCTGGGACTGTTAGACACTGCGAGGGATTAAACCAGTGAATATGACACAAGCCCCAACCTGATGCCAATTAATAATGTTAGGGTTATTATTAGGCAAGCATGACAAAATACAGAACGAACTGTGATCACATTAAAGGGACAGAACCCAAGTGAGGCAGAGCTCAGATGAAGGACAGCTGGCTCACTGCTACCAGAGCATTGCAGGTTTCACGGAATCCATCACTTAATAAGCCAAACCTTAAGAATGAAGAAAAAGGATGAAAAACAAATGAGAGAGGGATTCTTAAGGGTTTTGAGTTGCTGCAGGCACCTTTTGGAAATGCTTCAAGTGTAGTACTTTGTTTCTTCTTTTACATCTATGAATTGTTTTAAAAAAATTGGCTTTTGGGAGAAACATAGGTCCCAATTAACTGACTACATCCCATGCCTTCTCTAATGTTTATCCCAGCATTAATCTGATGATTCTGTGCAGTAAATTGAATGATTCCTCCCCAAAAACGTGTATGTCCACTTCCTAATCCTTGGAGCCTATTTTTTTTCTTATGTGGGAAAAGGGTCTTTGCAGATTTAATTAAATAAGGATCCTGGATTGAGGAGATCACTCTGGATCATCCAGGTGGGCCCTAAATCCAGTGACAAGAATTGGTATAACACACAGAGGAGAAGATGGAGGAGGAGGGAGCCAGCGTGACTGTGGAAGAGGCAGAGGATGTGGACACACTCAGGAAGCTGGCAGCCAGCAGCAGCGGGAAGGGGCTGAGTGCAGTCCCACTGACACCTTGACTTTGGACCTCCAGAACTGTGAAGAAAAATTTCCGTTGTTTTAGGCAGCAAAGTTGTAATAATTTGTTACATAGAACTAGGAAAATCTGATATCTGCTATTTAATGTGGTGCCATTTCTTCCCTAACCATTCAGTCTTGGATAAAACACACACCACTCTAACTTCAGACTCAGACTAGAAGCAAACATGAGCAGGAAAACAGCCAGCATGGTAAGTGATTTATAGTGGGGCTTTCTTTAGAGAACATTCTCAGGCAAAATGGAAAATATTCCCAAGTTATGAGATGTCCTCTTATAGTAATTTCCTCTTATTACTAAATCATTCCCATTATCTTATCAGAAATTTGTTTTTTTGGAGGAAGAGAATACTGGCTGTGTCACTAGGGAGTACCAGATATGCTGGGATTCAAGAGTTAGTTTAGATTCTCTGATTTATCAATGCAAAGGGTCATGCAAATTGGACCCAACATTTTTGCTAAGAATGGCCTGGAGTACCCTCTGAGCTCAGTTGTGCTTTTCTCCTAACTCAATAGAGAGACCTGGTAGTGGAGCTCTCCAGGGCCTATAGGCAGGGTTTTTGGTGGGCAGGAGGCCATTCCTCCACATTTCATGTAAATAACTTTTTATTTTTGAATTGTATCATATGCTCACTGGGATAGGGGGAAGGATGAAAATGCAGAAGATATAAAAAAGAAAGTGAAAAATCACTCACAACTAGAGTGAACATATAATTTACCATCCAAAACAGGAACTTCTTAAAGTGAAGGAGGAAGGCTACTGATTCTAAGACAAGAGCTGGAAACCAGGACTGTGCTGGTGAAGGGGGGGGGGTCACCCTGCCTATAACCCAGATATCTGCAAACACAAGGACGCTTCTCCATGTAAATATTAACTGCACAAGACCACACTGTACTATATATTTTTTTTCTCACTGAACAACCTGTCCCAAACATATTTTATGTCAGTAAATAGACATCTACTCTATCATTTTCAAGGAGTATGACATAGAATGGTCATGACTGGACTCTTCTGGGTCTAGCTATTAAACAGTGTCACAATATCATAATAAGCATGCTTGCATACAGTAGTTTTTTGACTGACTGATCTCTAGAATAAGTTTTTCTAAATGGCACTGCTGGGTCAAAGCTACACAGAGTTTGCATCTGGTTGATATTTCTAATTACTCAGGTGGCCAATTTGCAATTCCATTCCTAGGAAAATATGTTCCAGCTTTTTAAGGTTTATATTTAGAAATATTTAGAGAAATCATTCTGGCCCAAACTAAATTCTGAATTACCTGAAATTCCACAGAATTATTTTCTATTCTCCCTTGCTAGCTCCTCAATCCTGCCACTTCCATCTAATCTCAACTTAGGAAAATTTTATGAATTTCTTTATTTCTGTCACATGGCTACATTTGGTTCTACTGAGTTCAAATGGACCTAGTCCTGAGTGGCCAGCTATTGGAAATAAGGGTTGCACCCAGGGATTTATACCTATGTTTCTATGTACTCTATGTATGTATTTTTTAAAATTTATCTTATAAAATAATTTATTGTTTTTTTTAATAAAATAAAAATTTTATTTATTTTTATTTTTAAATTAAATTCCACAGATGGACAGTGGTCATTTGTTTGGAATCGTTCAGTTTTAATATGTTGAAGCTGACTGATTGATGAAGTCCCTGAAACCATAAGAAGGATGGCTCTTAAATCAGAGCAATGTGATGAAGTCAGGGTCATCACATTGAGGTGTGAGCTTCAGCTCATCTTGGAATGTACACTGTCCAGCATCCCTGCCAGACTTCACCAATCAGGGCCCAGGTTCCTAGAGTGTTTCTCTTGGTCTCTTTCTAAAACACACAATGAGAAACCAATGCCCAGGTGCTGAGAAACTCCAACATCTGAACAGCTGCCACGAAACACACAAGGCCTTCTGCAGAAGCAATACCACCAAGAACAGAAGTGTTCTTTCCTCCTCTTTTGAAACAGCTGTTGGGGGCCACCTGGTGTAACCAGGTGGAGGTGTATACCTTCAACAACCATGACAGTTACAAATGTAAGAACTATAAGACAGCCCTAAGGTCCTCTGCTTGGTCCAAACCTCTCGTGCTACCAGGGAGGAGGCAGGATCCCAGAAAGGTAAGGACACCTGCCAAAGGTCAAAATGGAAGCTTCCACCAATCCAGACCCTAAGTCCTCACCTGTGCACACATTCCTGGCTTCTGAGAACAGTATAGCCAAGGCAGTGTGGGTGTCAGAACCCTAGGAGCCCACAAAGTGACCATTCTGTGGATGTTGAGCCATCATTATCAGCTGTTCTAAACCTAAGGGTCCTTATCCATGGTAAGGAGAAAGTGGCAACCAACAATAACTACACAGGATCACTAAACAGATGCTGTCAAAATTCAGTGGAAGGTTTTAAAATGCCTAAAAGACAATGGTTCAAAAACTGCTTTGTTCCACTCTCTTAGTAATGAACAAATATATGTAACGTGCTTCCCCTGCATGAAGATAAAGTCAGAAAAAACCACAGGCATACATAAGTATAGATACATACATAGAGTACATAGAAACATAGGTATAAATGCCTGTGTGCAACCCTTATTCCCAACATCTGGCCACTCAGGACTAGGTCCATTTGAACTCAGTAGAACCAGATGTAGACAGTACTCAGAAGGCTTCCACTCTGGCCAGCATATGCCTTTGTAAAAGAAATAATTTCACTTGAATGCAAACACTTACTGAAAGTAAGCTCTAAAATGATACTTCTCAAACCATCTTTGAAAGATCAGTTTTTTAGTTTAAAAATTTTCTAATCCATTGCAGACTGATGTTTCTATTACACAGTAAAAATGGATTAGTAGAAGACAAAACAAGAGAAACAAAATAACAAAATGTATGTCTACATTTTTAATGAGGGTCACTGTGTTAAATTGCTGGAAACATTTCCAAATGCTTAACATCAAGTTCTGTACTTACCTCTTCATGGACCAGCAAGAGGTCAGACTGACAGATCACACTGAGACACTAGACCATACAGCTACTCTCCGAGGCCTTATGGGATAGCAGAAACATGCTATGCATTCCATGGGTGTTTCAATGGGTCTCAGAGAGTTTAAGGCTTTGCCTAAGATCACACTGCATAGTGGAAGGACTGGGATCCAACTCTAGAGTCACCTAAAGTAGTGAGGTCTGTGTACTATACACTGTGGTCTCCCTAGAGTACTTAAGGAGTACCACACAATTAGTTCTTAGTGTACCATTTAACTCAGAGTATTTCATTAGATCATTATGCAATTTATAGGCAAGTAAACCCCTGGATTTTTCTCCAATGTCTTCATGCTTTCTGGGAATAATTAATTTAAGAAGTTATGAAAGATAATGAAACTCACATCAATTAAGATATCAAGAAATAGAGTAGGTAACAATGTGATAAAAAGAAAACAGATGGCCATTAACATTGGACTTGAACATGTCTTTATTCCACACTTCTCCCAGTCATCAGCAAGGGTGAGGCCGGCTAGCCGATTCCACATAAGCTTACCTTGTCCAACTGCCGAGTGCATTTTTTCCATATCAAACTTAATTTTTGATCTTCCTGGAGTGCTAAGCATCTTTTCCCACACTGTAGTTACTTCTTTAAGACAAGGAGTGATTTCTTCATAATCGAGCTTCAGGCGCTTGTTCAGCAAGTCATTCTCAGAGGCTGGAAGCAACCAGGTGAGAGCAGGTTAGTGGACACCACAGCTATAGACAACATACCCACATGGCCGCTGCTCTCAGCTACCAAGAGATGAACCAGAAACAGCTGCTGAATAGGTTAAGGATAAATCACCCATCTTCCTTGTCCTGGAAACACTAAAACGCAGGAAGTACCTTTGATTTCTCTTATCCTTTTACTCCCAGTGTGTCCTGTTGGTCCTATTGTAAGATAAATTCCACCTCTCTTCAATTCTTTTCATTTTCACAGCTACTATGAAATTATAAACATGTCAAAAGCAAGAGCTATGTGTTCAAATTCCCAGTGTGTGGCATGGTTAGAATGCAACCTCTTTTTTTCATCTACACAGGGAGGAGATCTCTAAGGGTAGTTCCTCCTTATTCAGAGCCAAGCCTCTATTACCTAGCATTTATGGTTGTCTTATTTCTGTTTCTTGAAGCTAACCAGAATTCCACTCCTGTAATCCAACACTTCCTCATGTACATGAAGAGAACTGTTGTGCTCCACCAAACCCATCCAGTCTAAAACTGTAGTAAGAAGAATTAGACCTAAATTACCAAATTGGAAGGGGAGAATCAATAAAGGAAAACTTCTGACAATTAAATTGATTCTCCAGTCCGATCTCTCATTTCAGGGGGTAGAAACTGAAGGTCATAAGATTAAATGATTTGCCCAGGGTTGTTCACCAGCTCCAGGAGCTGACTGCTTTCAGGCCAGGTCTGCCTGTCCTCTTAACTTGAAGGACCTTTCATCTACCATCTTTATTTGGTCCTTTTATTTTGAAAAATATTTTTTCTAGGCCCTATTAAATTTACATCTCTGAAATTTAAACTTTAAAAAAAATGTAAACCTTAAGTTGTTTTAGGTATGAGAAAACACAATATATTCACTAGAGATCAACTAACTTGCAGCAAAATCAGGTTCAGGACTCATTGTGCTGAACAGAGACTGGTTTGCACTGGTGTCTCAGTGTTGGCCCAGATTCTTTGGAAGTAAATTCTGCCACCACATCTGGTTACCCTAACATAGCCCAGCACACTAAGCAATAAACTTGCTCTGAAGTCCACAGAACCTCACACAGCCAGAGAGAGCTGGCCTGAGGACTAAACTGCAAAGGCTAATTCTGGGTATCTTGCTGTTGTCCCAAGTCCCATCCTTTGTTGCAGAATCCTAACATATCTGGAGAGCCATGATTAAATGAAATCAAATGCAATCCTGCATGAGTTGTCTAAACATCTGTTACCATATAACATGGATACAGAAACTAAAACTTGGACTTTTGTGACTAAAGGTCAGGTCTGGTGAAGGCCCACCATGCTGTCCCATCCTCCATTCTGCTCTTGATCAACTGCTTTCACAGGCAACACCTTCTAGCCAACTGCTACAATCTCTTGAAAACTTTGAAGCAGAAAGCTAAGTGGCTCAGTAATTATATAACCTCCACTCTTACAGAGATTTTAGGAGAACTACACTAAGGATTTAATTCATTTTTCACAACAAATATGTATCATTTAGGGAAAAAGCTTTTGTAAATCAAAATACCTTTACCTGCAACTGGAAATTTAATATTATCACATCATATGGAGATGCAATAATGATTAACATTTAATCTTAATTAAGCATAAAATGCAGCTATATGAATTAATCTGACAAACAACAACATGCTGATCCCAAATCATGGTTACACTAAAGTACATTCTGCTGTCCTGCATTAGGATGTTCATGTCTGTATTTAAAAATAGGTGGTGGTAGTGGTGGTGGGGTGCCAGGTGAAATGGTTCATGCCTATAATCCCAGGTACTCTGATGGCTGAGTGCAGAAGATCACAAGTTCAAGGCCAGCCTGGGCAACTTAGCAAGGCCCTGTCACAAAATAAAAAGGGAAAGGATGTAGTTCAGTAGTTTCCCACTTGCCTAGCATGTGGGAAACCATGGGCTCCATCCACAGCCTTGCACAAACAAAAACCTTGCAGAGAGATTCAATGGAAGACTGCTAGCTTGAGAAAGGTGATGCATTTTAGTCCTAACACCACCACAAATTAGCTGTGTAACTTTGAGGAAATGACAAGTTTAGCTGCCAAGAGCCTACAAGGGTGTGAGGTAGATTTCAGTGATGTGGTTTGATCCCTTCCAGGATGCAATGCCTCCAGAAGCAATAGACATTTGATCTCTGCAGTCAAAAGTCAGGAAACAGGCTTAACCAGAGGAGCAACTTTCTCATGCATACCCTTTTAATTTCTTATCCAAACAGCATCCAAGTCAGCTTGAACCCTTGATCAATTTCAAGAGATGCAATTTAACCTTCTTTTAAGAAGCAAATGAAGAAAATAATATCATCACAGAATGATGGTCTCTCCAGTACATAGTACACTCCCCAACTGGTTGTTAAATCTTGCTCCTGTGTGTAATGGAATAATAGCTCTAGCTGGGGGCTGGGGCTGTGGCTCAAGCGGTAGCGCGCTCGCCTGGCATGCGTGTGGCCCGGGTTCGATCCTCAGCACCGCATACCAACAAAGATGTTGTGTACACCGAGAACTAAACAATAAATATTAAAAAATTCTCTCTCTCTCGCTCTCCTCTTTCACTCTCTCTTTAAAAAAAAAAAAAAAAAATAGCTCTAGCTGCACTCCCAAATGACCCCACAAAAAACTCATTAATATTTTCCAGCAATCAGTCTGTTATTGCTGATTATTTTTCTTAGAAATACAGGGACTGTAGAGAATAATATAGCAAGTTGATCTATATTCAGCAAGTTGATCATGATTTGACCACAAAGATAAACATATGTCAAACAATAATAGAGCTACAAAGAAAAACAAATTCAAGTAATAAAAATAAAAGGCCATAAGAACTAAACACTGTCAAAAAGCCCGATGGAACAAGGAAGCAGTAGAAAGATGCTGGCAAGGGCCAATGACTTATGCAACACCTGGCAAGATGTTCCAGGTAACCCAGCAAATGTCCACCTGCTCTTCCTAGTCTGCTCAGTCATCACTGGCACAGCAGCACACACTCTGCTCTTGTGAGGTGCTGATCTCACCTCATCACTTACAGTCACAATTTCTCCTAATGTTCTAAAGAAGTCATCCAGCATCTTTCCCCTTCTGTAGCTCTGCCCTGATTTTACATGACTGTCATTTGCAAGAAGGTTGGCCAACAGACCGTTAAGCATCCTGACCACATGGGGAATGTAACTGCCTTTTTTTTTTTAGGGGATGGGGGTACTGGGGATTGAATTCAAGGGCACTCAACTGCTGAGCCACATCCCCAGCCCTATTTTGTATTTTATTTAGAGACAGGGTCTCACTGAGTTGCTTAGTGCCTTGCTTTTGCTGAGGCTGGCTTTGAACTTGAGATCCTCTTGTCTCAGGCTCCAAAAAGCCCAATATAAACATAATAAAAAATGCTGTGCTCCAAAGCTTTCACTTAACTAATGACATACTTAGTAGCGCCGTGTCCATCTCTTTAGATGTGGGGTCCTCCAAAAGCTCACGTGTGAGATAATGAAAGGCGGCTTGGAGGAGAAATGATTGGGTTATAACCTTAACCTAATCAGCGTATTTTCTCTGCTGGGATTAACTGAGTGGTAAGTGAAGGCAGGTGGGGTGTGGCTGAAGAAGGTGGGGCTTTGGGGCATGGCTGTAGGGTATATATTTGTATCTGGCAAGTGGAGACTTCTCTCTCTCTCTCTGCTTCCTGATCATCAGTGAGCTGCTTCCCTCTGCTATACTCTTCTGCCACGATAAATTAGCTGAATATGGACTGAGACCTCTGAAACCATGAGTCCTTAAATAAACTTTTCCTCCTCTACAGTTGTTCTGGTCAGGTCTTTCAGTCACAGCAGCTAAAAAGCTGAGACATTTATCAATTGTTTTTTTAGATACCTGCTTATAGAATTACCTTCAAGAACACACAGAAAATGGTAGAAAAATAAAGTTGGAAAAAAACTCAGCACTCACCTACACTACACTGCCCTCCCTGTGCCAATGCCTTCCACAGCTTCTTGATGGGATGACTCATCTCTCTCAACTTCAATACTGCACACTAGAGAGCTGGTTTCACTTGAAAGCAGCTATTTGAATCATTGGATTATTTCATATCAAAAGGTCTTATTATTTTATATTTCTCTTATTCTTTTTGGTCAAAATGATATGCCTATCTTAACTCTTCATCTGTTATATTTCACCAATCTGTACAGTTCTCAACCATAGAAACTGTGCTGCAAGTGCACAGTGTTGTAACTCAAAAATATTTTCTGGATATGCTCACTTCCTATGCATCATTCATGACACCAATTGCGAAGAGGAGCAGAGGTTTCTATACAACTGGAACTCATATGAGATACAACGCATTCATGAGGAGTTTTATAATAGATTTGGTATCAAAATGACTTTTAGCTCTATTCAAACACCAAGGTCAAGATTAGGGGCTGGGGTTATAGTTCAGTGGCAGAGAGTTTGGCTTGCAGATGTGAGGCACTGGGTTCGATCTTCAGCACCACATAAAAATAAGTAAAATAAATAAAGATGTTGTGTCTGTTCATCTTTTAAAAAAGATCTTTAAAAAAAAGATAAAAAGACAAAAATCTGCAATCCAGGGTAATGCTCAATGGAACGTACTCTCCTTCTAAGACTCCTTCAGGCAATGGTAACATGATAGAACCCCTGCTACTGTTTCCCTTTGAAATTTATGTTCAGACTTCCTAAAATCTTCATTAATTTACATCCAGCTCTCTTTCCACAAGCCATGTACACTTAGCTTCTCAAGCTATTCAGAAAATGGTATTTATTGGTTTAAGCATCAGTGTAGAAACAGAAAATGAACAAAATCTTAACTTTCATATCTTTGTCCTATTTTGATACTATTGGTATCAGCACAGACAAGGCTCGGCTCATGTTTTTTCAAGTTACTTGCAACTCAGTAAAAAAGGCACAGAGTAAGGTTACAAACTTTAAGGACTTCCATAGAATCAGTCTATACATAACACCCAGGTAGAGACCCTGGCTGAGGATAAAGTAGGAAGACAGAGGAAAACAAAACAAAATATACCTTTCAGAGGTTTGAGCTTAAACTGCAACTTGTATCTTAGAAGTTCTAGACACTATGCTAATAATGACCACCTAGGAACAATTAATATAGTTGGGGGACTACTTTAAATCTCTAGAAGGTAAACAGTGTTGACATTACTTTGAAAAAGTAAACATATGATTGAAATGCATGTTAAATTATTTTTTTGTTGTTTTTTTAAGAATACATGCTTATGACTGATGTGATTCGCTTTAGTACACAATGAATTAAGATCATCAGGCCTGTTCAATTTCAATATGGCAAACCAACCTTGTAGCTTCTGATTTTCCTTCTCCATTCTGAGAAGCAGTATCTGTTGCAGAATAGCCTTTTTCCACAGCTCACGAAGCTCCCGTGATGTCTTCTTCTTTTCCTCTGGTACAGGGCCAAAGGGTCCATCTTCACATACTGGTTCTAAAGGAGACCGTGGGGGAAGCTCTCCCAGCTCTGAATAATCTGGGGAGGAAAGAAGACATACCAGAATGGTAATTTTTTAGCAACAACAAAAAATTTATGTGTATTCAAACATAGTGCCCAATCAGCAAATTCTTCTCACTTACATAAAACATAACGACATCACCAAATTTAAAATTTATGTAAGTCTGAGCAAAAACATGAAACACTGACATATCAAAATGTAAGCAAAAGCTACTGTAGTTTAAACATAAGTTTTAAGGTGTAATATTATATTCTAAAGAAGTTATTGAATAACAGCACTACTGATAATAACAGCAAATATTCTTATGGTGGTTACTTTATACCATGCTCTAAGGACTGTATGTATAATCATTTAACACAATCACCCTAAGACACAAGCATTCTATACAGTTTTTTTTTTTTTTTTTTTTAAAAGCAAACTAAGGCACAGGGAATTAAGTAACTTGCTTAGTTATCACAAACCCAGAAAGTAGCAAACCCTAGATTGGAATCCAAGCATCCTGGCTTCCATATGAAATCACACTGTGTTATATGACTATGTATTCTGAATGAACATGAAAACATGTTTAATAGTCAACAAAAACAGTGACCATTCACGGATCATCTAGGCTGGGTATTGTGCCAGGCATTTTCACACAGACTCATTTAATCCTGATGACAAATCCAGAAAGCAGTATTAGCCTAACAAGGAAACTAAGGTCAGAAAGGCCAAGTAACTTACTCAAGTTTATATAAGGAATAAACAGGTGGACAGGATTCCATCCCATATCTGCTTAGCTCAGAGCCTATCTGCTTCTTGCTAGATATTCCTCCCTCTCAATGTTTCCCTGTGTTGTGGGTTTTTAAATGTCCATATATTAGTTTAAATCTATTTACCTTTTATAAATCTGTACCTTTCTCACCTGTAGAAAATACACTGCTGGCACACACACTGTTGTCATAACTCACAAATACCACATAGATATGTACAGAGAATGTCCCACCCTCTCACTGTGACCCTAGCCATGAAGACCAGCGGAGGTTCCTGTATAACTGGATCTCACAGGACTTAATATGCTGTGTAAACTGAATCTTTGCAAATAAAACCATGGTCACAACACACACCATGAAAAACCTTCACAGGCAGCCTGAGCCTCTCAACCACCCATAACACAAACCTACAAGCTCTTCTAGTTAATAGCTCCAATACCATTCCACATCGTAATTTCTATAATAGTCATCAACATTGACTGCTATCCTTATCTAAAGTTGGACTTGTTTTCCTCAATGAAATCTAGGAGATCAAACAAGAGTACAAAATGTTTAATTTCTTAAAGTAACCTGACCATCTTAACTCCTCTTAATACTACTGGATTAAAAAATATGAACACTAAATAAGAATGATCTCTGTAAGCAGTCAAATGTGCAGCTCTAGATTAAAGAGCGTCATACATTCCTATTTCATTATGATCTTTTTAAATAAAAATTCTACTTCCTTTAGAAATAACTAGAAAGTTTATCCCATTATAAGAGAAAGGATGTTTGTGTGTAATATTCAACGAAAAAGTGCAAATCAAAATTATCTATATAGTATTGCTATGGTTTGGGTATAACTTCCCAAAGACCTATACATAAAGGCTTGGTCTCCAGGACAGTGGTATTAAAGGTTCATGGACATTTAAGAGGTAAGACCTATGGAGACCCCCTGAGGTCACTGGGGCTGTGCCCTCCAAAGAGAATTTTAGATCCTGATCTCTGCCCTCTCTTTGCTTCCTGGCTCAAGATGTGATCTCTCACCCTACCTAAGCATACTCCTGCCACTGGTATCCAGTGCCCTGAATAGAGGTCCAAACCAATGAGGTTCTAGCCCACAATGGGCTTGAACCTCCCAAACTATGAGTTAAATAAACCATTTACCTTCATTAAGTTGGGGGTATTTTCTTGCTGATTAATACAAGTATCATCTCTTCTATAAATAATGTGAAAGGCAGCACAGTTTAGTGATTAACAGGGGAGGCTCTGGAGCCAGGCTAACTGAATATTCATCAAGACTCTGCCATTTGTTGACTGTGTGATATTTAGCAAGCTACTTAACCTCTCTAAGATGCCTCAACTTCCTGACCTGTGAAGTGGAAAGAACAGTCAAATGTCTCAGAGCAGCAATAAAGCGACTGAATTAATACATAAGTTACAAAACACCTAGAACAGAGTCCAACACACAGCAAGAATGCAATAAATATTAGCTGTTATGATTGTCTTACATATTAAGGGCACAGAAAAAATGAAGAAAAGAAATGCACTGAAATTTTACCTACTTAATTATAAAAATATTGAAAAGAAAGGTAGCTAGAATTTTCCTTCCTTGAACAATGGTTTGCTCATCACTGAGCGTAGCAGCTGAGCACTGAGTACCAGCAGGTGATACATAAATAAGTACTGCATGAAGGAAGAGGTAAACAGGTCCTGGTTTTTGGCATGCTGTTATTATTTCCTGAATTTTCTGAATGTGTAACAATAGACACTTTTATACTTAAAGGAAAATAGTGAAAATCTATTTTGATTAAAATAAGTTGAAAAAGTGTCCTCCTGCATAATACTTAAAAACAAATTATACCCCTGCCAATACATACTTCAGATTAGTCATTACTGAACATGTTTAAATTAATTGTTATTTAAAAGGAACTCTGTCAGTACTCTTATTCTGCAGCTTGAAGTCTTTTCCTTTCTTTTTTCTTTCCTCTCTTAACATCTCTGCTACACGTGCATTATGATTAAAGTTCTACTTTCTCTCATACAGGAAGCAGTTACACTACCACTGACTTGCAAAGGACTGTTTCAAAAAAGGAACTTGTGACAAGTCCTGCCTGATGGGGGCAGGTAGCAAGGCAGCAGACAGCAGCACCAGGTTGGGCTTTAATGCAAGTGCAGGAGCACGGGGGCCTGTGCACATTAACAGAGGGGGTGCCCCACTGACCATCAGGTGCAGCCAACCAGGAAATCCTCTTCCCTTTTCAACCCTATTGATGAACAAGGGTTCTCTTCATCAGCCCTCCTTCCTCTAGTTCCATCCTTCCTGTTTACTTTCTCCTCCTGAGTGTCAATCATTAGCTACAGTTTGTTGAGAGAGAAGTCCTTGACACAAATAAGCTTATCTGATTCTCATGAAATAGGTGACATTATTATCCCCATTTCGCAGCCCAAATAACTAAGAGAGTTTGTAATTGAGTCAAGTCATATGGCAAGTAAGAGCAGAGCCATGATTTGAAGCAAGGTATATTTTCCTGCAAAATTAGAAGTACTTAGTCTTGCTTCTCTAACTTTGACATGCACAAGCATTACACAGGGGATCTTTCTAAAATCAGACTCTGATTGAGTCTGACTGAGGGGAGGCCAGGAGTCTGCATTCTATCAGGCTTCAGGTGATGCAGCTTCTGCTGGCTGCGGAAGCACATGCTGAACAATAGGGTTCCACGTTGCACTTCTCTTTGGCCCTTGTACAACCCCATGGGCTTACCACCACATTGAGGAAGCTCTTCCTTCCATCCCTGTTATCACTGACAGCATAGTTCAAATACTGCTGCTGGAAACTGTCTGAATTTAGGCCTTTCACACGTGACAAGAATTTGTCCCAAACTTGGTCAGAGTATCAAAGCCAGAGACAGAACACAAAGAAATTATTATCAGTATTAATTTCACCCCTTGGATCCGTGGATAAACCAAATAAAAGTTGATACTTTGTAAAGGTCAGAAAATAAACCTAATAGTTTATAGCAGGGTTTTCAACCTCAGCACTAGTGACATTTTTGGCTGGATAATCCTTTGTCACAAGGGATGGTTTTGTGCACTGCAGAATGTTTTGGAGCATCCCTGTGCAATACCCATAAGACGATGATGGTAGTGTCAAGCCATCCAGTAATGACAATTTTTTAAGAATGCCTTCAGATATCACTAGATGGGCAGAAGGAGGAACAAAATCACCCCATGAGAATCCCCGATTCAAAGAGAAAACAAACTCACTTTTCTCTACCCAACCCTAGGAAGAGATTAAAAATATATCCTCTTCACCCAAATGTATTTAATGTGGTAAAATTACTAATTTTTTAAGAGTTTATAATTAAGAACGAACTTTTAAAATATCTTTTGTTCATGTTAAGAATAGAATAGTTATGGGGCTGGGGTTGTGGCTCAGTGGTAGAGTGCTCGCCTAGCATGCATGGCCTCAGAACTACATAAATGTAAAATAAAGATATTGTGTCCACCTAAAACTAAAAAATAAATATTTAAAAAAGAATAGACTAATTACAAAGTAGTTTGGTAATTTGTAAGCGGGGATAATTAACATATTTGTTTGTTCTAAATTTGGCCTGGCTCAATCAGGCCAAGTGGGCTGTTTTCTTATCAATGCAACAGGATCCAGATTTGGGACAAGGTAGTAGTATTGCAATCAGTTCTTTTTTGCACGCATGTTTTTGGGTACAATCTTGTGACATGTGGATTCACATACACAGGGGCTTAAGCAGGGAAATATAGTGAAAATGTTAGATGGCTGTTGGCTGAGAACCCTGCTCTCATAATAAATATGGGCATTATTTTTAACACGGATAATTCCTAGGCCAACCACACCAGTATTTATCAAGTCCCTTATGTGCGCTGTGCTAAATGGTCTAAGAAGGGCTACTTTTACATTTCTAATAGTTTCCAGAGCAAGCTTGGTGATCAGGCTTCTTCCCTCTATTGTGTTCTCCCAGAGACCCAGGTAGAAAGGCCCAGCTCAGCAGGACAGAGGCTGGCCTTGGGGCTGCTCCACCCGCTGCCCCTCCTCCCAGACACCCAGACTGTTGGTGCCTCTTTATAAACACAAATGCCTTTTGGGGTTCCAGTCCCTCAGTGCGAAATGTAAAAAATGACATTCACCTCCAACTGCCTGAATGTGGAGACCACAGGCACTGACAGACATATTTATAAAGTCTACAAAGCCACAAAACCAAAGGGCTGGGACAACACACTAGTCCAGGATTAGATTTTACTATTCTGACATC